CAGAGTGTTCTACTAAACTTATCGTCAAAGGTAAGGCATTTGACAGAAGGGTTGGCATATGAATAGACTACATGTTCTGTTTTTTCTTATAATGATCATTTGTATTTTTCCTTTTCTCCACAGATTAAAATGGCATGAAGGCTTTGAGAGTGATTCTGGAAATTGTGAAAGTAGAATGTTTTCAATTACTTTGAGTTATGGATTGAAAGTGTGACTGTTCTGTAAGGTTTTGGTTAAATCATTTAAAACTGTAATTTATTAAATTAATTTAAAATGCAAGTGATTTACAATTGTTACCCTGTTATTTAAAGTAATTACTTTGTAGCGCAAGTGAAAATAGAACCTGTAGTACTACGAAAGTGGTGAGTGACTCTAAGACCTGCATCAACTTGACCTGGACTCATCCAGAGGACGACAGAGGGGTACCAATCATTGGTTACCAATTGGAGAAACCAAAGGACACAAATCAGTGGATTGCCCTGAATGCACTAAATGAACCGATTGAACGTTTCAAATACTGCTTGCACAGTTGTTACCCTGTTATTCAAAAATAATTATTTCATAGTGCAAGTGAAAATAGAACTTGTAGTACTAAGAACTTGACCGGGAACTTGTAGTAATATGAAACCTGTCAAAACTGTTTTGCTCTTGTAACAATGGAAATAAATGTAACAAACTAATAGGTCTGTTTTTGTTCTTTCTGCTCACATTCATCACTATTTTTCCACTAAATTCTCTGACAGAATCAAATCTTATGTTTCTGTTTTTGCAGTTGCACATGCACATTACATTACTACACGCTGTCCCTATAAGAACAGAGGGCACACTATCCATATCCAAGGCCATCAATAAATTGCTATTTAAAGATCCTCAAATAAATAAGTCCTTCTGCATTCATGGTCTAATAACAGTTAAAAGGAAGAGCTGTCAGACAACAGTGTTTAACTGCCCTTATTTATAGATATGGAGAAAAGACTCACATGTACTTTGCATTCACCTTATACTCTACATTTGACCGACAAGGCCAACACAAAACTAATTGCAGGGATTGCAATTGCATACTGTACATATGATGACCCAAACACAATCTTTACTTAGGAACAGACTCATCTCAGTTAACACACAGAGAAATGAAGCCTGTTTTATATGATTGCAGAATACTTGTGATGAGCCAAAAATGATGCGAAATTGTTCTTCATACATTAGTGCACGGGTGTTAATGTCCCTGCTTCATGTGGGGGTGTTGACTTTATTTCCTCTGGTATGTCAAAGGTAAAACTTGTGTTAATTCTCAACTTGTGTCGTCAAGCATTTTCTTATGTCATAGTCTCTTTAATGAGGTCAGAGGGGCAATTTAAACCGTCTGGATTCAAGTTATGCTTGTTTAACCTTTGACAATGTGAACCCAAAGAATAGCATAGGGCATTGAGTCCAAAATATAATCACACCATCTTTTTATAATTCCACCACAGGTTCAGTGTGACTCACTGAATATCAAAGTCATCATGCTGTCGGATTTCTCATTGATACTTTTGGGGGCAAATTGTAACAGCCAATTCATTTATACCAAGCAGATATTATTTTACCAAATAAAATATCTCATGTTAATGTTTATTGACCAATAAATAGTACATAGTGCAGTCTTCATATTACTAGAGACCTTGTGAAGCTGCCAGTCAAAACCTTTGGTTAGATGCTTTGACTTGTGAAAATTAGCGTTTGTGGCTATTGTTGATGCAAAAATCATGAATCATTAACCATGACTATGAATACAGTTGTTCCATTACTAGTAACAACTAAAACATTAAGTCAAGATCTTCATAGTTTAAATTTGACAGAATGTGAATCCAAAGACAAGATTGAATGAAATGTCATATTGTATTTCCAGCGCCAGCTGCAAAGTGATCGCTTTCATAGGGATCTGTAAGAGGAACCTCAACCCCTTACCACTGCTGTAATATGGGTTTTTTAGGAACTACATCTCAACCATGTATGGGTTTTTATGCGCCCCAAACTTTTATCACCGAACAAAAAGAGGTGCCACCATTGAATATTGCATAGTGCGAGAAGTTCAAGCTGAAGAGGGGAGTCGGCGACAAAGATCTAAAAGTAAGTTGAAGTTCTTTATTGTAACTGTACATTTTGCTGGTTAAACTTGCATCAAATAACTCTACTGACCAAGGCAACATTGTGAATTTCTAGAAACACTGTGAGATATGGTTGTACAACTGGTACAAACCCAGGCCACTTTAGGTATATTTAAACAGGATACAGCAGAAAGGCATCATTTGTTGATGTTGAGATGTATCAATATTAAGACTGACAAGCAGCAAAAACTAGCAATAGTTATTTTCAATTTCATAAAACATCAATACAGGTCACAAGTTTACTCTCGGGAATAACACCGCTACTAGAGATGTGCAAGCTTTTAAAATGTTTTCATTTAATGTACATTTCAAAACACCAATGATTTTAATTTTTTGGAATTTAAAGGCTTTTAAAAAAAGAGACTAATATGATGATGCGTTAAATTATTTTACCAAAAATGTTACTGTCCAGCTTATATTGTGTACTGCCACAGGCACAGGAGAGCCTACAAGAGCCTGATGATTACAGAAAAAAATTCAGTGAAGGCCGAATATGATTGTGCCAGTTGGCCTGTTAGAGTTTTTATGATAGACAAAAGACTGAGCAGGAAGACTGTCACCTGCTTGCACTAGATATTGTGGGAAACAAATTATATAATACCCTTTTTGCTAGGTTGTATTTGTTCAAGTTCAATTATCCTTTAACATATTTCTAGTGTTTCTCTTATGTTGCTCTAAATATAAGTGCCATGCAACACTGCCTTGTGGTCCCAATCTTACATTGATTGATTGATTTATGTCTTTATTTCAAACGTGTAAAAAGCAAAGACAAAAACAAATCACCGAAGATGTAGTTAAAGATGTGTAGAAAACAAATAAAATAAATACACAACAAAAGAAAGAAAAGTCAAAGTTCTTCATTTGCTTTTACATTTTACGTGCCCGAAATGGAGTAATCCTACACCTTTATAAAAAGCCCATTTTGTCCTAATTAAAATCCTCTCAGCTCAACTTAACTAACTTATAAGTTCATAAGTTCCTCTCATTAAGCGTTTTGGTCATTGGTCATACATTGTTACTTCACCTTAAGGTCTGATGAGTGGCACTAAAAGTAGGTCAGAGTCATCTCCTTTCTATTTCCTTTAAAGCTAAGGACTTGGTTTGAACAAAGTTCTGTATCGAATAATAACTACAAGATATTTTTTAAATAGGCTTATCAAATAAACATTGCTTTTCACCTTCAAACACACACATAATCTATACATGATTACTTTTGACAAGCAGTTTTAATTCCAGGTTTCAGTTATTGGCTGCTCATTAACAACAAGGCACCTAAAGAGACTCACTGTCCGAACATAAATTTTAAGAGTTGGGCATAAAAAAGATTTACAGATATGTGCATCAGCTTAACAGTTTGAATCGAAGACATTCTGCTCCTTTCTATGTTTGGATCCTGAGCAGTAAAATCGCTGGCACAGCCACTTGACCCCACAGGCAGTTGGGCAGAGTCAGCCACTAGGTGGGATTTCACATTCCCATTTTACTGTGTCCCAGCATGTCTCCATATGTCTGCACGAGTCACACAGGAGTCAAGGCACCACCACTCTGACAGGCTGATGTCATACGGTTGCATAGATGATACATGAGGAGAACCTCCAAGGCTTGGTTTCTCAACCTTTTCTGGCCAGCAACACCATTTTTAGGTCTCCCTGGTTCTCATGACTCCAGCTGTTGCAGAATGGTCAAGTAAAAACAAGTGTTTTTCAGAACAATTTTGACAAAGGGAACTCCAAATTAAAGAAGATAAAAAATACTATATTAATAATGTGTGAATAATTAATGAAACATTTCAATTATAGATGAATAAAATGATCAAGAAAATCAGCAAACATTTTGAAATATTCAGACATATTAAGAATTTATACATAAATAATAAAAGCTAATATGTACTAATATATATGTACAAATATTTCTGTGCTTTTGTATCTTGTTCTGCTTTGATGAGGTTTACTCAGGTGTAACTAGTGTTGTAGTACTCAAAATTGGTCTTGGTCTCCAGACCACGTTATGAAGGTCGGAATCGAAAGCATTTTTACTCAGTCTTGTCTCGACCTAAAACTGGGCAGACTCAGGATTTTAAATCAAGACCAGTCAAGACCACCACTGGTGGTCTTGACTGGTCTTGATAGGCTATTTTTCCAACTTCAATTCATTTGAATTTAGATTTTTTTCCCACTGGTTACGGCCGCAACCTTTCCGGTGTTAAAGACTAAGTGAGTGACACACAAGATGATGATTTTTCAGTGATATTTATGGTCTTGGTCACGTCTCAGTCTCGTCCTGCCTTGGTCTTGGTCTTGACTCGGTCTCAAGGCCTAAATGTCTTGGTCTTGTCTCAGTCTCAAAGCACTCTGGTCTCAGGTATGTCTTGTTCTCGGTTAGTGTGGTCTTGACTACAACACTCAATCAAACCACATAAAATAAAATCATAGCAAGAGCACAGACTCCCCCACTGCTCTCTTTGTATTTTAGCTAAACCTAAAAGTCAAAGGGGACACGAATGATACAATAAGGGAAAACATGACTAAAATTAAGAACCATTATGTGAATGCCATATTATATTATCGTTTGAGATAGAGGTTGTTAAATTGTACTTGGACCTGGACTATACTTGTATTGAACAGAGCAAATCAAGAAAGTTCAGTGGAGTCATAATAAAGAAGTTTTTTTTTTCCCATAAGGAATCATGTCAGCCATATAAAAACTACACAGTGTTAAGTTATAATAATATTTGATGATTTAGGGATATTTAAAACACAATACATGCCGATATGACTACATTTAAGTATGACAGCTACTCTTTGTGTTTTAAGAAAAGACTGACCAAATCCCTGAGTCAAGAGTGAATCAACAATGAGTTCAGGAACAAACCAGGACCCCAAAGCCCCAGGTAAGTCTTAGTGGCTTTTTGTGTTTTGTTTTAATTATGTTTATTATCATTAACACTAATTTGCAAAAAAATACCAAGTTGTGTATACTCAGTAAAGCTCCTGATAAATGCTCCTCAAATATGTTTGTGTAAATATACATATAAACCATTTAAAATAAAGGTTTATCCAGCTGAACAGAATATGTTTGTTTTGTAGCAGCATTTGCACACCGTGGATGAGCCACAGTGTGATAAAATGCTTCATATGGTCTCTTGGGCGCACCCAACACTGAGAATTGCTGCTTTAACCCCTACACTTGTAATGTTAAGTGGAGCCTTCAACGGAGCTGAGACTCTGCCACAAAAGTTCATGTCATTGGATCCCTCCGAGAAAAAAATAGGTTTAAACAGAGGCTGATATAAGAGCATAACAATAGTTGTTTGGATAGTAGAGGAACCTGGGATTAAATACTGTCAGCTTTGCAACAGCGCAGTGGGTAATTGCACTGTCATTCTGCTCAACCCTATGACCGTTTTATTATTTTTGGTACAGACAAAGAAGACATAAAATAACGCAGCAAAAGAAAAAAGAAAAATCGCAGAAGAGCCAAAGAAACTACTACAGTTGAGGGGAAACCCATTCAAAAAATTAAAATATAAATCTTTGGAACTTACAATAGAGAGAAGTCTGTTTCTTTGGAGGAAAAGAAGTATATCATGAATTTAGACCATTCACATCCGTGCAGGAGGCCCAGTGTTTGTGTCCCGGACTGGTTTATGAAAGGGTTATCAGCTTTAAACAGCCAACTGATTTTGACTTAATGTCAACTGTAGCCTGCTGGGTGTCCAAATCTAACAGTATCTTCGGGGAGTGTTTGGTATGCAGAAGCAAATAGTTGCCTTGCTGTGCTAGAAGTCTTGGATTATGTGTGTATCAATGCTTGAGGGATGAGGTTACAAGAATCCTGCCTGCATTCAGATGATATAAGAACACAAACCAACCCCTTGAGAGATGACACAGAGTTTGATGAATATTCAGTACGTGCCCTCTAACTGGAGTGAGACTGCTGAGGAAAAAAGTAATGAAGAAGGGGTGATCTTAAAGTAATGCACATAACTGAAATAAGAAGCTCACACAGTGAACAGTTAGTCACTGCAGGTGATTTGTTCTTTTTTTATTTTATTTAACCTTTATTTAACCAGGTTGGTCCCATTGAGATTAAAAACCTATTTTTCAAGGGAGACCTGTTCTAAGTGGAGGACCAAGTTTTTGTTGTGGTTGGTTTGGCATTCTGACATTGTTCAAAGAAATTAATGCAGATTATGATGGTTTTTTTGCTTTTCATTAAACCTTGTTTTCCTGTTGTATGTTTGTGACAACTATTACCTGCCTACTCAATTGTGTATCGATGTGGTTCTATGCAACTACAGTAGATAAGTGAGGTAGAACATTGGAGTAAAGGTCTTCTGGCACAAACTATTACATTTCAAAAGTTATTTTTTACTCTAATTTTTCTAATGTGTCTGTCAATAAAATGAAGTTGTTGATTTATCTAGAAAATATAAACATTAGAAGGTCATGGTAAAATATGTGGATCATTTTTAAATGTCTCACTTAAATGTGTTGCTTACTGAAATGAATCTTGCACATTGAAAAAAACATTATTTCTCTTTGTGCATTCATATCTTGAGCTGCATTTGAATTATTAATTTAATGTCATCCATCATGTTTTAAATTTGCATAACTTTTTAAACAGTTTAAACTTTGTCACTGCTGAAATTTTGTTTGATTATTCGACTAAGGGGGCGCCAGTAGCCTAGTGGTTACTGCGTGAGCCCCATGTACAGAGGCTGCAGCCTTGGTTAGAGTCCAACCTTTGGCTCCTTTCCCGCATGTCATTCTCCACTCTCCCTCTCCCCAATTTCCAAATCTATCCACTGTCTCGTCTCTTAATAATGGCATAAATAACCCCAAAATAAAACTTTTAGAATAATTATTTGACTAAAATTGAGAACCAAATAATTGCCATCTTTCTTGTATTGTAACTTCAGTATTGGTATTCTGTCTGTATGGTGAACACAGTTTAATTAATCAGAGGACTATAATTGCTCCATTCAGCTTCAAACCTAATTAACCTCCCTAATGGTTGGACACTTTCAATGCTTCACACATTTGTAGAGAGGTGATGCACATCTTTATAATGCAGCAGTAAAGGTTGAAGCTCGGGTTGAATGAAGCAGCTCTGAGTCACTACAACATGTGATGCTAGTGCAGGAAAAGGAGCAACTGTTGAGGATCATGATTTCAGCAGCTGTTGGAAGAACTTTGTGTCTTCTGCTGAGTCATCCTACAGTTTAAATCTTAGGGAGGAAAAAGGCAGACAAAATGTGTCAGCCTTCTCTCTTCTGCTATCTCCTTTCCCAGAATATGGAATAGTGAATTGGCCAGGGGTCAGGTCAGAGTCAAATTGGGTTTTGTATTGTAGCTCCTTGACCTTGTTGCGGTCCACCTTAATGCCTGAGAGACACAGATTTGTCAGAGACACACCACCAAATTTACATTATTTTTAGATTTTCTCAAAATAAATTGAATTTTAATTAAAAATTTAAAAAACATCACAGAACCTTTATAAGTTACAAGTGTTATACAGTTAGGTTTCATTGTACACAAAATCAGATCAATGAATGAATCAAAAATGGATCGTCATGAGCACACAAGTTAAAGGACTTCCACGTTGTGGCCCCATGTGAAGGTTTACAAAGAGAAAAGAAATACTGACATCTTGTGACATGTTAATATAACTGCAACATAATATGTAAAATCTCCGATGATCATTAAAACTGTGATATATAAGGGATGCAAAATATACTATTCCCATGTGCAACACTTTAAAAAAGGAGGTCCTATATATTGTGAATACCTATAAAGGTATTTGGAAAAACCTGCAGCTACACTTTCTTAAATATAGTCAACGATATTGAATCCTATTTTCTAACAGTGTTTTCATTTTTTTAATAATAATGACAAATTTTAGTGATTTAAATTCTGATGCCACGTCAAGCATTAATAAAATTTGTGTTTTAATTTTCTTTTAACTGTTTTTGCTCAGTCAATCAATCAATCTTAATTTGTATAGCAACAACTCATAACAAGTGTTATCCTCATGTTATCAAACAGCTGATTTGAAACTGTTTTAATGGTCTTCACAGTGGCTATCAAGAAAAGGTCCAGAGTCCCTGGGGTAATGATCACTCAGTATGTTGAGCAACTGCCTTTGGGAAAGTCCACACCCGACTTCACTCGAAAGCCAATGACTACGACTGTTCAAGAAGGTAAGAAAATCTTATTACAACCACACTATTAAACACAATCAACAACTGTATCGCTGTTTGACTCAATGTATTTTGAATTTCAGGTAAAAAAGCCATTTTTAAAGCTATGGTTAATGGAGATCCAGCACCAACTGTAACATGGGGGCGCAATAAAGGCGAGGTTAATGATCCAGAAAAGTACAAAACCAGATTTGATGAAAGAGCACAAGAGCACATTCTTGAGGTGAGAAAGAAGCATAAAATATAATGCTGTACATCTTTAAAACAAATTTTCATAATGAAGTACCACTACTCTTCTTCAATTCAACAACTGCTAATCTGTATTAAATACATGAATATAGAGTTAAGTTAAAGGCAGGGTTGGTAATTTTCTAAAACTAGCATGATTTTGAAAGTAGCATTCCCTCAGTGCTTCGTCCATACCCCCTCCCCTCTGTGCTCCCTCAAAAGCAACGTCCCTCACTTACATGTACGAGCAGCATTGCTCCAGAAGTGGACCTCAGCTCATCACTTTCGTTGTGTAGAAACTACGCTGTCTTATGTCTCATTCAGCAATAAGTCAACTCACAGTAAAAACTCCGTCATCCATGACGATTTGAGTGTGGGCTAGTGCACCCAAGGAGTAGAGAACGAGCAGGGAGGCGTGATTGGTTCATCAGATTGGTACCTCGTGGCAGACATTGGTCAAAGTGTTTACATGCTTAAAACTGCTACAGATGATGGATTTTCTTTGTTCCTTTTTCAGAGCACATGAGTTATTAATGTCTATCAGGACCTAAAGACAATTTAAACCAAATTCTTAAAATTTGTAACTGGAAAAAATTACCAAGCCTGCCTTAAAGTATTTTTATGTTATAGATCAAACTGTTTTAAAATGGTCTACTACAAATGCTCATTCTTCTTGTAAATGTGAGATATATTTAGCTTTAAGAGGGAAGCTATGGAAATTCCTTTTTTCAGATGCTCAGTGTGACACCAGATGATGCTGACACCTTCAAATGCTTTGCCACCAATGAGTATGGAATGGCTGTTGTCAGTGCAACTCTCAACGTGATCCAAGGTAGAAGACATATGTTGACATTGAAATATATAACTTTCCTTTGATAAAATAAGTGTAATAAACGACGGAGCTTTGACTTTTAGCATATGCTTCATGGTTCTACTTGATGCTTTTCAGCTGGTTTCAAGAAGAAAGCCAAAGAAGGTAAAAGTTTACCAACTTAGACTTTCTCTTGTTGTCATGAACTAATTAACACCTTTAGGATTACAAATACTTTACAATGTTTTCCCCTCCTACATATAAATATCAGCAGTGATCAAACAATATGATTTAGCATTACCTAAACAGATACGTATTTGTTTCCTTTTCAGCAAATGGACAAGAACTGAATTTCAGATCTATGCTAAAGAAAACGTAAGTTCACGTTATTCTCGATTTTTTTAACGGACACCTACACAGATCCAAATACATTTTACATCTCTCTTCTTCTCCAGTGTGGTAGTCACCAGAAAAAAACAACTTCCACCAAGAAAAGAAGGAGAAATTGATCCGAAGCTCTGGGAACTGCTTCTCTCTGCACGAAAGAAAGACTACGAAAAAATCTGTTTGGACTTTGGTGTCACTGACTTTCGCTGGCTGCTCAAGAGACTCAACCAAATGAAAAAAGAAAGGGAAGACGAGCAGGCAAAGGTACCTTACAGCAGCCTGTAAAAACTGGATCATGTTCAGCCAAATCAGTTAAAGATTATCCTGAATTGTGAGCAGTTAAAGTTAACATTTGAGTTTGCACATTTAGAGCTGGAAGTGTGCTTTTTGCACCTATGATGACACCCTTACTGAGGTCACTGTACATCTGTGTATCACTGCTAGGGGTAAGAAGGTTAGGACTTCTGGATTAACAAATGTTATCCTTATTTTTAGGTTGTTGAGAAACTGGAAAATGTGAAACAAATAGAGGTAAAACCTAATGGGAAAGCTGAATTTAGCCTGGACATGAAGTTATATGATCCCAACAGTGCTATCAACTTATACAAGGTGAGTCGATATGGGTTCCAGCATACACTATTAAAAGCCAATCAAACACAAAATAAATCTACAATCCCTGTTTATTTACAGGATGGGCAAAGTGTTTCATATGGTGATGATGACAATTCAAAGCACAGCCTTCAGAAAAGTGGGACAAAGTATGTTTTCAGTATCAAAGATCCTCAGCCAGAAGATGCTGGCTTTTACCAGGTTGATGTTGAAGAGGCAAATGTCCTAACAACCGACTTCCAAGGTAAAGTTATTTTATCACAACTGTATTCAAACATGAATAAGAAGCCAGTTATTCCACATCTAACCTTTTTCATTCCCTCAGTGCCTGCTGTGGAGTTCATAGCAAAGATTAAGAATGTGAAAGCCTTTGAAAGAGAGGATGCCATCTTTCAATGTGTCCTGTCAACACCACTGAACAGAATTACCTGGTCCAAGCAGGACTCTTCACTTGAAAATGAGGACAAGTACGAGGTCACGGTCTCAGAGGACAAACTAATTCACACATTGAGGGTCAAAAACTGTGGAATGGCCGATAATGGAACATTTTACGCCATTGCTGGGATAACTTCCAGCAGTGCTTCCCTCACAGTAGAAGGTGGGTTTCATATTGGAATAGATAAATGAAATATCCATCCAGTCTGGACGGTTTTGTACCTTTTTGAATAAATAATTCTTCAAATAAATGAAATTAGGGCTGCAAAAACAAATGACTTAAACAGATAAAATCAACTAATGCAAGTGTTGGCAACAAATTTGATAATCGATTTGTAGTATTGTACGATTACTTCCTCACTCACCATCATTCAACTGCAGACAGTTGAATGAAGTGGTTTACAGCACTTTGTCAACTTATGCTGTCTGAATGTGCTGTGTTTCTAAACTTTACTGACATTTATTTCAACTATGGCAATAATGTAATGATTAACAAACAGCATGATGATAAATGTTCATCCACTGTTTTTCCAAGACAAAGACGAGAACGTACACATGTACGCTGAGCAGGTGAATCTGCATTCTGCAGGTTGCAAACATAACACTCAATTCTTGTTTGGCCTGTGAGTTAGTTTTGTGATAAGCAGTGATGTGCTCACTGCAGCAGAGCAGCAGACCGTGTCTCATTGTGTCAGATTAAGCACAAACCAACACTGTGCATTGTAGACAGTAAAAGCAAACAGTGAAAAAAAAATGCAAAAATAAATCATTAACTCAAACGTTAACTACTTTAACTCTAACTCATTTATCATTTGGAATGAATGTGTGTTCACATAATAAATTTGGTAAAGATTGTGATTAAATGCTAACTTTAGATCAGAAATAAATCATGCAGAAATAAAAGGTGATCTTAAAGAGAGGAGATTAAACTACACCCATTTAAGCCTGGGTTATTAATATGTTTAAATTTGAGTAGGCTATAGGCTTGATTAGTTGACGATTTCTTCATCTCTTTTCAGTTTTAATCATAATACTTTAATTCATTTTTAAATATTGGCTGTTATGAAAGTCTTAATATGTGGGTAACTATGTTAAACTGATGAAGGTCTTCTTTTGTACCAGCGTAAAAAATATATTTTTTAATAAAGGAATAAAACAAAAATGTTTTCTTATTAGATTCATCGTAACTGTTAGTTGCAGCTCTAAATGAAATTCTGTATTCTTCTTTCTTCTATGTATTCTCTGTAACCCAGCCGACCCAAATGGAAGTAAAGGTCGTAAAGGCACCCAAACCGGGGATCAGGATGAACTGACTAAACTAGCATTGGAACAGAAAGCCAAGCTAGAAAAAGACAAAGACGATTTAGAAGCATCCAGAAAAGCACAGGCTGGAAAGGGAGATGGAGGAGATGGCGGAGATGGCTCTGGTGATGGGACCAAGCTGGAGAAGAACCTGACAGATGGAGATGATGCAGATGACAAGAAAAAGAAGCGACTGCGAACAGGCCCCTTGGTTCCTGACACTGTTATAGGCAAAATAATTTCATTTTTTTAAGACCGAATGATGTGTTGCTGTATCGAACAGGGATTAATCTAATATCAATGTTCAAATTTCAATCTCTTCACTAATGCACACTGTGTAATGTCAGCTATGAAAGTTGTGTTTGAAAATGTCTGAAAGTTAATCTAAGGTATGGCACTGGAAGACTGAAAATAAATAAGGTTGGCCTTAACCTTGAGAAAGATGTTAGAAATATTTACTGCTGGAAGCCATTAATTCAAGATCCTAAGGTTGGTAAAGAAAACCTCTCAAGGCTTAAAGGGATACTTCACCCATCTGCATTAAGCATTGCATCAGTAGTAAACTGGTAGTATTTTTGAATGGTCGTGCATCCAGCCCTCATTTCCCCCTGAGACCAGAATTTCATAAAATATTAGAAGACCTTGAGTATTCAAAAGTTTGGATAGTTAAAAACACCAATGATCACCAATATTTATGTGGAAAACTGAAACTAAACTGAAGACTTATTTACTAAAAGATGTTTAGTCATATACTTCTATACTGATGAAAAATGTTCTGCAGAGCTTCCTGTTGACCACTAGAGAGAGACATACTGTAAAGCAAACATTAGAAAACAAACCATGACATGGCAGCACCGGAAGAGGGATGTATAGTCTTTGCTCAATTTCCTTATAGGGAAAATCTAAACATTTTGGGCTTATTTCCTTTAAGAATTGTCTTTATGTTCGTTTGCAGTGATTCTTTTTCATCTGCATGGAATGTAATACTAAACTGGTATGGATTATAGTTGGAGATACTGTACATAACAGAGAGCAAATAATCAATTTGCATTTACAGGATTTTGTAATATAATTGACAAAGTGAAAAAACTTAAAATATACCACACTAAGTACTTGTAAGGAAAAGTTGTCTCCTTTATATCTCACAATGCCTGCCTTTTTGTAAAATTAATGTATTCAATGTTTTATATTGCAAAATACAATGTACAGTCATTTTGATTATCTCTATGCCTTCTCTGTTTTCATTGTTGCAGATCCTGGTGTTCGGTTTGTGAGTGGGCTGTCAGATACTATGGCTAATACTGGTGAAAGGACGGAGCTGTCTTGCAAACTAAGTAGTGAGACCTCTGAGGGCCGTTGGTATAAAAATGGGAAGCTGGTAAGTCAAATATTCTAGTAGAACGAGATGTCTGTAGGAATACTGCAATGATATTGCTGATAATTAGCCTATAAAAATATAAAGGTTAATTTAAGAAGAAAATATTGTTTAATATATTCCATGCTTTATTAATGATTTATTTTCATTAATATTGAATATTTTTATCTTGCAAGCTCACTAATGAGGATGGAGTAACAATTATCAAAGATGGCGCCTGTCACAAGTTAATAATTGATTGCTGTAACAAAGACGATGCAGCCGTGTATCGCTTTGAAGCTGAAGGCCGTAAATCAGAAGCAACACTTGATATTCAAGGTATAAAATAAAATAAAAAATGTTGCGTTAGTACCATCATATTTTAAAAAAAAAAAGAGTCTTAAGTTTCTTCTAACAACGTTTTTTCTGTTCCATTGAAGACCCACCAAAATTTAATGCTGATGCACTCGGAGAATTTACAAAGCCAGTCATTGTAAAGGTGGGTGAAAATGCAGAATGGAAGCTGCCATTCTCGGGTGGGGCACCGATGAATATACAGTGGTATAAGGATGATGATGAACTTTTGCCTGCCCTGAATGTGAAGATCGAAACATCAGCTACTAATAGCCAACTACGCCTTACTAAGTGCCAAAGGAAAGACTGTGGAGAGGTTAAAATCAAAATCAAAAATGAATTTGGTACACTAGAGGCAATTTCTAAACTCATTGTTCTAGGTAAGTAAAGTGTGCCAACTTTTACAATATTAAAAGGTGATAAAAGCCTTTTGTAGTGACTTTTATCCAAGTTATTTTTGTCAACAGACAAACCAACACCACCTCAAGGACCTGTAGACATCATGGAGAGTGCTGTTACATCTGTTGAATACAAGTGGAAGCCACCCAAAGATAATGGTGGATGCCCAGTCACAAACTATATCATAGAACGGCAACAGGTAGGGCGCAATAAATGGTCAAATCTTGGTGAGATTCCTGGGAGCAACACAAGTTACAAAGATACAGATGTGACCCCAGGAAGGAGATACTGCTATCGGATCAAAGCCAAAAATGCAGAAGGCATCAGCAATTACCTGCAAACAGAGGACATACCAGCTGGAGTATTACGTAAGTCTTTAATCAAAGCCTGTAGTATAATGGTTAGTTTTGCTCCCGTTTGTTTAAGAACTCAACTTGTGAGAAAGCAGATTTAATAACCATAGAGTAAAAACAGCAAAATGTGACCATTGTGAGCCTAAATTAAAATCCACCAATCCAAACTATCAACAAAAGTTTATTTTACTGATGAATCATATGTGCTTAACTTGTGGCATATGTTCTGATTTGGGGGTAAATTAACTAATAGCTCAAAAGCATTGAATCGACATTATTATCTGGTTTTCCCCCGCAGGATATCCTGGAACACCAACAGCACCAAAAGTGGTCAGTGCCTTCAAAGACTGCATTAATCTCACTTGGAGTCCTCCATGTGACACTGGAGGAACCAAAATAGTTGGTTACAATCTGGAAAAAAACAAGAAGGGCACCAATTACTGGAGTCTTGTAAATCAAGGAGGGCCTATCACAGGTATTCAACTCATATCAAAAGCTGCAGGATTACACTGTGATTGAAACTGTTGTAAAATATGCTACATATTCATCATACAACATTTTGAACGTTATAACCATGTCTTCTTGTCTACTCAGATACAAAGTATGCAGTGAAAGATGTTTTTGAAGGAGCTGCATATGAATTTAGGGTGGCTGCTATAAATCTATCTGGTGCTGGAGAGCCTAGTATTCCATGTGACACAGTAATCGCCAGAGATCCAATGAGTACGTACTGCACTAAAAACTAATTCTCACATTCAACTAAGGCTTCCTTAACTGAAAAACTACAAATGTTGATCTTTAGAATGAATTAAATTTGTGAAACATAATGCTTTTGGTAGCTCTTTGTGTAATATAAAAGCATGACATTGCTGGGCTAATAACTATACTTTTATTTTAGAACCCCCAGGCAAAGTGACAGACCTGAAGTTGACATCCTCAAATTATACCACCCTTTCACTGGTTTGGATTAAACCTAAAGAAATAAAAAGAGTAGAGGATGAAGCCCAAGGGTACTACGTGGAGATCAGACCAATAGAAAACCTTGAATGGATTCGCTGTAATGCCAATCCAATTACTCTTACTTCCTACACCGTGCTTGGCTTGAAAGCAATGGCCGCATACTGGGTGAGAGTAATTGCCACCAATTATGGAGGTGATGGAGAACCACAGGGCTTTGACAATTACCTCATTGCCATGCCTCCTCCTGGTAAGAATTGTTTTTATTTGAATCAATAACTTAACAGTGCATTAATCACATGACATTTACTTTTGACCGAAATGTCACAAAAAGTCACATCTGGATTAGTTTTTAATTTAATAATACATCCTCACAAAGCTACATTTGCCTTCAAATAGTCTGTTCGTCCCAATCAAAAACAAAGGATGCTTTGTTTTTTATGGTATGAATTTCTTAAGTTTTGTAAACATTTTTCTGTGGATATGGAGTTAGAGGGGAGACTTGTATTGACAAGACAGTTAGGAAAAAGAGTCAGCCCAAGAATGAGAAAAAGTTTACTTTGGCTTTCAAGCTTTCAATGGCATTGTAGCATTTTAAAAGAAATGGTCACATATAACATCACTGCAAGAAAGAGACACTGACTTTTCACGACGATAACTTGTAACAGCTGTTTGTACTGACATACTTGAAACTTTTTGTTTCTTTTAGTTAAGCATGCCAGATTTGGGTTCAAATATTTGTATCACTGAGGTAGAAATAGGTTGCAGTAATGGACCAATTAAGTGTTTACAACAGTGTTGTACCTAGATAACACATCACATTACAATAAAAGATGATTCATGTAAAGACATGACTTGTCCCAATCATGATAAATAGATAATCCTGTCTCCATCCTCACCCTATCCCCATAAACGACAGGGATTATTTCATCCATATCAAAGTACAGACTTAATCAACAAATGCTGGTATATTTTAAAACAAGAATCTAAACATCGTATTCTACATTTGGATTCATAGTAAGGCCAAAGTTCAAAGATCGCAACATGAAGACCTTTGTGGTGATACAATCTGGAAACACAGTCCGCATAAACATCAACTTTGAGGTACTGCACTTAAATTGTTTGTACTGTTTAGTTGATTGACAAATGTAATTTACTTTTCGAGTCTTTGACTATGATTTCTGTAAATAAACTTATCTGAAATGTTTCTTATCGTCATTAGGCATCCCCCCTTCCAGAAGTCTTTTGGCTAAAAGATGGTGTTCCAGTGGCCAAACATGTAACAATTACCAACTCTGATAAGGGCTCTCAACTGTTAATCCCCACATCTGAGCGGTCTGACACGGGCATCTACACCATAACTGTCAAGAACATTGTCGGCCAGGAGAGCTTCAATGTTGAAATCAGAGTCACAGGTGACTCTCAGTGTTCAAGACTATGAACCTTATGATTCATGCCAAAAACAATGTATTTGAAATACAGATTGAAGACATATAGACTTTCTGCTAGCCTCATTAAGATGTTTCTTCTCTGCTAGAAGGATAGAAAATCATCAAACAAACCAAGACAATTCAGTAATCTGTCCCTCTGTATCTTGTTTTAAATGTGACTGTAGATGATCCCAAGCCCCCAGGTCCTGTGGAGCTGGATCAGAACATCCCAGGAACAGTGACTCTGACCTGGACCCCTTCTCCAGATGAGAAGAGGGATGACAGACTACACTACATGGTAGCAAAGCGTGACTCCTTCAAACGCACTTGGAGGACAGCGGCAGACAACCTTTTTAACAACAAGTTCACAGTTGTGAACATCATGCCTGGACGAGAGTACAACTTCAGGGTGTTTGCCAAAAATGATATGGGTCTTTCTCCCCCTTCTGAATCCCCTGTATTTGAAACCAAAAAGGAAAAAGGTTTGTGCCTCTTTTTGATATCATTATAAATTATATTACAGTATTACACATTTGAATCAGTTCTCACTTCCACAAGAAGGTAAGAAATTGTAGAATCTATGGTAGCTCTGATGACTTGTGATAAGCTTGAGTTATTTTCCCTGAAAAAGTTATTTCAGTTTATCACTTCTTCAAATCGAAAATCATTGCTCATCAAACCAGATCTCAGGAGGACAGTGTACAGTTATCCAGCAGATAAATAGTGAACCTGGGAAGACCATCTTTCATGACTATGCACCTTATGAATTAAATGAAACGCTCAAGGATTTAATTACTTGAATCTATCATCCAACTGGCTGATTTTAGACTTTTAAGGGGCGAGGGTAGCACTTAAGTTGAGCACCTGTTATGATGACTCATTTTTACAACAGAACAACTTACATATTGAAAAGCAGCAATGTCAAAGAAAGTGTTGAAATCGTTAACAAGTGAGCAGATAAAGAAAAGAGCAGCTATGCATGTAACATCACTGATGTAGCAACGGATTTTGTACTTGGGAGCTGGCATGGTAAAGGCTGTTTCAGGTCCTCTTAAACCAATTTGGACATTTGAGTTCTCTCGTACAGCTTCTTAGGATAATGTATGGATAGTTTTAAGGTCGCAGTGTGTACTAGTCAAAAGTAGTCTTTATCTCTTTGACAGTCTTGTACCTTCAACATTGCTTTTTTTTTGCTTGGATGCTACTTTCTTACCAGTTTTACCTGCCTCTTATGCATAATAGTCCTTTACCTCTTGGACTTGGATAGTTGCAAAAGAGAGTTCAGAATTTCGTTCGACAATTACTCTCTTAAACTAGATTTTATTATGCAAGGTAAGACATGCACACGACAGGAAGCTGACATTAAAAAATAAGCACATATGGAAGATGAATGAGCCTCACCACAGCACCCTGCAGAAAACTTTCAGTCGACGTGTGAGGCTGAAGATGGTAAAGTATTGATCCACAACTACCGATGTCAAGGCACTCTTGCTTGACATCATAAATAGACTTAAAATACTGTGTGCCTCAAGGATTTCCTGAAAGTATGAAACAAAGGTCTAAATGTCAGTCAGCCAAATATGTGCAGGTCAATGACTTACTTTGGCCACTTACAGGGCACCGACCCAAAGGTGGGTCACAGAGGGCATTGATTAAGTAATGGCCTTCCCTTGAATTGAATGGTTCCCTTTCTCTTTTTTCCTGCAAAATAAAAGAGAATATGCCAATTTAAGGAAACATACCTGATAAAGCAAAATTGATAGTATCTTACAATAAATTAATGGTAAACCCATGAAGCCCTTTTAAAAGTCATTTTAAAATGAGTGTTATAAAACAATAATTGATAATTCTTCTGATGACGAAAAATTTGTGTGAGATAACACTACAATGATTGTCTGTCTGTGTCATGAATTATGTTTAGGAGCCATAAATACTCTCTGTGTTGATTACATAAGCTGCTGTTATTGGTGCTGTTGGTGAATTCCAGTGATGCAAAACCATTGATGAAATGCCACTTCTTCTTTGCCATTCTCCTTAGGTGGAACAGTAATGAGATGCAAAAGTATTGATGTAAAATGTATGTATGTTTTATGATGCTTCTATATCATTTAATGGCAACTTTCAGAAAAGGAATCAAGCATTGCATATTTGACTGTTGCTATGATGATTAGGATTGCACTCACAGTTTTACTTACTAGTCGTATGGTAGCAAGCTTCTAAAACAATCTAATTAACATTGCACCCACAACAGTGACACTACTTACAATGATAAGAATAAATTACAAATTTACTTAAAATAATAGTTATGACAAACTACATTTATGACTCTCAGTCATAACATAATATATTACAGCTTGCAACATAAAAAACCAGTACTTTGCACTACTCCAGAGCTACCTTTGTTGAGCTCAATGGTAAGGTATTAAGTTGTTGTCACTATTCTTTTATCTGCATGGCCCTGGTTTGAATAGGAAATAACTTAAAAAAACCTCCCAAGAGAATTAGAGACATTAACCATTATTCACGGTTTAACAAGAACTAGCTAGAAAGGGGGCACCGGTGACCTAGTGTTAGGTCGCGCCCCATGTACTGATACTACAGTCCTCCGAGCAGGCTCGGGTTCAATTCTGACCTGTGACTCTTTCCTGTCTGTCATTACGCACTCTCTCTCTTTCCCTGATTTCTATCCACTTTCTCATCACATAAAAGCAAAAAAGTCAAAAAGATTTAATAAATGAATAAATCTTAAGAGCTAGAAAGCGCTTGATTCTAGAAATGGCTAATAAACTGACATACTTACCAAAATGTTGGATAAAAGATGTGAGTAGAAGGAAGTAGATGGACAACGCTTTGGAGATATTCCACCCAAACGAATAATTCTCGCTATCATTGTAGATTTTCAAAAGACTTCCTTGTTTTGCCACTGTAGACAATTGTGTCAACTACCTTAGCAATATACACCATTGTTAACTATGTGTCTGTAAGTTAGTGTGATGCAACATTCAGCTCTTGCTGTTACCACCTCACATTTTTCAAATGAAAATGTTTAATTTATTGATTATAATCTTAGTGGAACAAACCTCGTGATTTACAGTTTAAAACTTTCTACAACCCTAACGTTATGCATTTCTTTGTGTTGCAGTTAAGTTCACAGTAAAAATGCCCGGGGCAAAATGCTTGGATTTCCAGTCACCTCCATCATTCATTGTTCCCCTCAAGATGCGCACAGCTCCACAGGGTTACGAGTGCTTCATGAGCTGTGCCGTTAAGGGTGATCCTGCTCCACGTGTCACATGGTTTCACAACAATATTAGCCTGAACACAAACACCAACTACCACATCACCAATGTTTGTGGAGTCTGCTCCATGCTAATACTAAGGGTGGCACCCAGAGACAATGGCGAATACAAAGTCGTTATTGAGAACAAACTTGGGACAGCTGCGTCCTCTATGATCCTGAATGTCAGAGGTAACACTAAAAAGTTTTAAGAATTCATGTTGATGTTCATAAATGGCTAGTATAACATAACACTGATCAGTGTGTAGATCAGCGTGTACAATGATAAATATGTTTCTTTACAGAGTGAAGAAATGCTGCAGCGGATGGACAAAAGCTGAACCGTCAGATTCCTTGCTGTGTTTTTAAATAATAAAATATTATTAAAATTGAGTTGCAACTTACTATATTTACTACTAGTGGGATGCACACCTGTTTAAAAATCCTAAAAACAGGAGAAAGTCTCCTTTAGGAATAGGAAAATGATGTGCTTTAAAACTTTAAGAATTTGTCATGCAGGAATGCATACATGTAATAATCTTGTTCCTGCAGGTTTAGTACAAAGTATTATAGTTCTGTAAAATCTTACACATTACTCTGCAGAGATAGCACTGTTTGTATGTCTGTTCTGTTTACTTTCCCATTTATGTCAAGCTTGACTGACAGTTCTTATACAGTAGACTGAGCTTGCTAAACAACTACAGAGCTGTAATTTGTATTGCCTTGCATTAAAACTGTTCAAAGACAGCCCTGAGAACTGTGTTGTTGTTTTTTTAATCATCTTTACAACGGTCAAATACATGCAAAACCAACGAAGCATTAATGTCAATGCTTTGGTTGGTGTTAATTAAAAAAATTAAAAATCAAGGCTACAATCACACTCCAAGGCTTACTGCTCGATTTAAATGTATTACCGGACCCATGATTTGGATGGGCACATCATTTTTTTCAATTTAGCCAGTGTAAGATTACAATGTATATTGATCATGACCTTATGGCCCGTAGATAAAATGGATGTATGTTGGATTTGCTTAATGTCAGGTTTTTCGTGAGACTTTTTATCCTTCTTTCTCCTTCTTGTTTCACAGGAAATCTAACTGCACTTATTCAGGCTTATTATAGTGTAGATAAATCCCAGCGAATAGCCTGCAGGCTTTTATAATAAAACATTTGGTTCACTGAGAACATATTGGAAGTAATTATGTTGCTTAGGCTACACATTTTAACAATCTGAAAATAGTAACATATTGAGTTCTTATTTATTTTACTCCTTATAAACATTGTCCAGCATATACTTGTGCACTTTCAGTGAAGTTATGAATGAAGGGCTTAAGAGGAGTATTTTCAGAGTGACTGTAATGGTTTGTCTAATTCACCAGCAACTGCAGTTACATAATATTCTGTCACGCCCCCCCACCAGCACCCCAGCAGTTGCTGTGGATTTATGGGGGTCCAATGACTGACTAGGTCAAAGGGTCTAGCAGTGAAGGCTACACAACGTGATATCGTAAAAAAAGACAAGAGGGCACACTTTGCTGAATCTACCTCACTGGAAGCGCATACCTTTTAAAAAGTCCGTCAAGTCCCTCTTGCGCTTCTGCAGCCATGGCCAGGCGTAAAGCAAAGAAGCCGCAGCTAGACGACACCTCCATATTGTTGGAATCATCAGCAGCACCTCAGTCCAGGAGAAGGCTGAACTCCAACACCTCCTCAGCATTGTTGTTCATAATTATCTTCGTGGTCGGAGTGTGCATGATGGGGTGGTTTTGTGTTCAACAACAGCAGAGTATCGACCAACTATCAGAGTCTTACACAACGATGCAAAGGAGAATCACAAACTTCCAGCAGGTGGTGGACACGGACGAACAGGTGAGTTAACATAATTAGCACATAACTTTATTAACTGTTGGTTTCTGCTGGTTTTCATCGGTCTGGCTGACAGTAAATGTCAAAACATTTAAATTGAAATGAAATTAAAGCAATTGCTGTTGCGTCGTGCTATTTTAACAGCACCTGAGAATCCGAAATTAACGGATGTCCTTCAGAGTAAAATAAATACATTGTTTCATTTTTTAGTACGGACTGTTTGTGAAAATACAAGTAATAAAAAGTTATGCTTAGGTGAAAAGCTTTTTATTTTTCTAACCTCTCGATTTTTTTTATATGCCATCTATAAGATATTCTGAATTAAAATGTTGCGCAGTGAGATTTACTTTGAAAAGCCATGCTTGTTAAGACATTTCTAAGGGGCTAATTTGAGAGCCCTCATAGTAGCACCTGTTGTTATTTTTAGCTCGTCCTGAGTGTGAGCAGCTTCATTGTCACGTTTCAAAAACATTTACAACCTCAGAGGTGAATATTTATATTAATGTTAGATATATTTAGACGTTTTTAGCTTTACATTATATCAACAGCTTAATTTTTGCAGTGCGTCTGATTAGTCTTTGAATATATATTCTGTAAATGGTGCTGTATGCCATGATTTAGATTTTATGTCAAATCAATTACAGGATGTATTGATAGTGCGTGTAGAATTAAAAAAAAAACTATCTTTAACAAATAATTTACACAGTCCCATTGAAGCAGAAAAAAAAATGTATTTAAAGAAATTTCACTAAGTGATTTATAACACTGACCAAAATGACCGTATCCATCTAGCAATATATAAAGGCTAGTTGCCAGGGTTTCATCAATAGTTTGTTAGCAGATGACAAATTTTGTCACTTGCACTGTGTCACATTGCAGAACCCTTCTCTGTCTGTTAGTAAACAAAGACAAGACTGGATTTCAGATGTTTGTTATTATTCAACAAAATAGCTTAAAGGAAAATCTCCATCTCTAGATTGATACAGGTTTGGATGTAGAGGAGAGGATCTTCGCCCTGGAGGAGGCTCATAAACAGGCTCAGGAGAAGGCTGAGGTTGCCCAGGCCACATCAGAGAAGTTGAAAAACTCGGACCTGTTCTCGCAGATCTTGGACCTCCATGATGAGATGGACACCCGAGTAGCTGTGATAAACCAGATCTCCCTCTCTGTCACAACTCTCCAGACCTTATTCAAGAACCAGAGTGAGGAGTTTGAGGCCGTGAAAGGAAGTGTCGTGGCTGGTTTGAGCTCCAGCTCTGAGCTTTCTGAAAATGTGGCTGGGCTGACTAACGCTGTGGCCACTGCATGCTCCAGAGTAGACCAGCAGGTTGCATCTGTGGACGCTCTTAGTGAAACGATAGAGGGACAAGTATCAGAGCTGGATGGCCTGAAAGAATTAATGGATATTCATAAAGTTTCACTTCATACAAACAACCAGGAGATGGCTGCAATAAAGTGAGCAGCACAGTTTCATATTTCACAGTTTACCTGCACAGCTGAAGAGTGTTTTAATTTGTACTAATGTTCATGTAAAGCTAATGTTGGTCTGGTGTGTGTGTGTGTGTGTGTGTGTGTGTGTGTGTTTTTCAGGGAGCTTATCAAAGCCGAGCAGGCCATGCGGACTCAGGCATTACAAGAGATGGTCAATGCGGTGCAGATGACTCTGGATGAGCAGTTTTTCACATCACAGACACTCCACAGCAGTGTGATGGCTCAGCTGCAGACTTTTCACAACCAGGTATAACTGCTTTCCTTACTGAGACTGTCCTTCAAAAACCTACATTTTAGAATATTTTATCAAATGCATTATAAAAAAAAAACATTTCTCTCTTTCTTAGCTGGCCCATGCTCCTTCTTTGTCTTTGAAAATGGAGTCAGATGAGGAGAGCGGTGCAGTCGAAGAGCTTCTCTCCACCACAGCACAGAATGCTACTGAAGAGCAGGAAAACTCAAAGGATGCTGAGGAAGAGGTCGAGCAGCAGGATGCAGAAGATGAAGCTGATGATGAGACACAGAATGAGGAGGAAATTCAGGAAGAACAGCCTCTGGAACAGGAGTTGGTGAGGGACGTTGCAGAGCCCCAGGAGGAAGAAGAAACCACAGAGGAGGAAGAGGAAACAACAACAACAACAGAAGAGCGAGAGGAGGTGAACACGACAAGCCAGAGTGGGGAGCAGGGAGAGGCTGAAGAGCCAGCAGAAGAGGAGGTCACAGAGGAGACGGTAGATGATCACGTTTTAGAGGAATCATTAGATGAGGAGGAGGAATTTGAAGCAGAAGTTGTGGACAGCTTAGAGACATTAGAGGAAGAGTCTGCAGAATTGAATACTGGTGTGTTTTTGGACGAGAATGAGGAGGACGAGTAGTGTTACTAGAAGGTCTGCAGTAGTTCACAGGTTATTTTTAAAGTCTTATTTAGATAAACGGAAACCTTTTGTACTTACAGTATCTATTCTTAGATGAATGCAAGTAGCTGACTGAGCCATATTTGTATTCCAACTGTAGCCTATCTGAGGTATGGGTAGTATCAGATAATCAGTCCTTTGGGCAAGAAAAAGTAAGAATTTCCAAGAATGTGATACATACTTAAAGTGCTTCAATAATTAATTTTAATGGGAATTCCAGCTTCTTATCATCTAAACGTATAGCTTATAAATATTGTCTGTCTCTTTTTTTTTAACTCAGCAGGACATCTGAGGATGTCATTGACCATTTTTTTTTTAAATAAACCCGACAACTACTTGATTAATCAACAAAAACTGATCAACAGTGAAAAGTGTTGTCATTGGTATATTCCTTCCTGTTTTAATGCTCTTCAGCACACATTCTGCAATTTTACTGAACGTTTATGAATTTAATTCTAATAGAAAAAATGATTAAGTTATGATTAATTAATTGAGTCATAATGAAAAGTCTAAAAGAAAACGGGTTTGACTTTACAGTGTTATTAGAGCAATAATTTATTAATAGTAATTTGTTAAGTGACATTTTATGTAAAGTAATTTAAACATCTATTATTTTGTATATATATACATTAGATTATTATAAATACTTTTCATACATTTTAATTTTAAGAAAAAAGTGATTACTATTTACAGAGCCTTTTTGCAATATGAATAGAAAGAGAATATCTGTACAGCTTGTAATGTAACACACGTGCATAAGAAGTATCTCTCTGCAAAAGTTATTTATGGTACGACTGTACATGCTGTACATGTGGGTTACATATGTTTCCCCTGGTACATTCTGATCTCACTTCATGAAGCCCCGTTTAGTGAAAAGGTCAAAGTACCATTTTCTTCCAGCAGGTGGTGCCAGATTATAACCACCATTGTCACGAAGAAAAATCATCAAACGTGAACCACTAAATATACCTTTCAAAGAGGGAATCTGTGAAGAAGACTTCTATTTAAAACGTTGTGATTGTGATCATCTTCCTCAGTCTGCTGGTTTTTGTACGGCCCTGCACCTACAGTACGTGATGTTATTGTAACTACCTTCTTTTTCTAATCTATGAGTGTCCCATCATTTTGTCCTGCTTACCATATTATTCAAACAGATAGCTACATCTACCGGTAGTTTATACCATGTGTTCCTCAACAGTGATCTATTATGTGTATTTGAAAATCTCTGAATCGTGGGCTGCAACTTCAAGATCTGCTGAATAAATTGTGGCAACTTTCCCTGCAGGAAATCAATCTGGTTTTCTTCCAGCAGGTGGTGCCAGATCACAACCACAACTGTCATGAAAAAATATCAATTTTGAACCACTAAATATTCCTTTCAAATAGGGAATCTGTGAGTGTTGCATCATTTTGTCCTGCTTATTATATTATTAAATTATACTAACAGATGCCTCTCCCTAGTTTATGCAGTATAGACTCGACGGGGACCTCATGCATATTTGAAAGTCACTGAATCTTGGGCTGCTGAATACTTTGTTACACTGGTGTGTGGCAACTTTCCCTGCCGGAAACCAACCTGTTAAAGTTGCCCATTTTTTGCAATTTAAAGGTGAAGGTAATTCAAGTTTTTTTTTTAAATAAAACATCAGAGAAGGAGAGAAGAACAAGCTCAAATATATATTTTGTTAGCACCAGTCTAGAAGTGCCATGACATGAAACTTCATGAGAGGTTTAACTTTTAAATGAAACATCTCTACTTGATAAAAATGCTTAAACTGCAGAAGAGAAGCAGCAAGAAAGCTATGATAAGTTCCCTGTATCTATAAATATTCTGATCTTTTCGTAATGTGCTAAATCAAGATCAATTGCAATTTGTGATGTTAATTGTTGTATTTATTAAATGAAAGCAGCTCCAGGTGCAGCGTGCTCTGAGAGCCAACTGTTTCTCTGGCTTGACTTAATTAGACCTACGCAGAAAGCTAAAACAAAAAATGTGACACCTGGTTTGTTTCACCACTAACACTTCTCAGTTCCTCAAACATTCACATGTTTCTGATGTATTTTAAATGTTGTTGTTTTTTACTAAGAAATTTGTTGTGTCACATATTTAGTGTGTGACATTTACTATTACTCAGTATTACTAGTATTACTCATACTAACATGAGTAACAAACTGATAGCTCACCTCTTTAAAATCCCCCTTTTAAGAGACTAAATTACAAACAAATGGCCGGGCTGCAGTGTCCTGATACATACACGGAAAGGTATGTCGGTGTGTTAACTGTCAACACATGCAGCTTGCAGCTTGATTAAATACAAGAGATCTAAAAAACAGACCTAACATGAAGCACTGCATATGTGTTCATCTGGTTGACTTGTTGTTTTTTTTTAGCCGCCCTTATTTTACATGAAAACAAACTTCTTGTCTTTGTGGTGCACGGGTCAAGTTTTACTTCCACTTTCAGTTCTATTTTCTTCCAGCTAACAGCCCTTTTTAAACTTTAAAAAAATGGAATCATGATTATTCAAACTATTTTTACAAGCACAGACAAGTACCCTTAAAATGATAAGCAAACTCTCCCGTGCATTTACTTTATATGCATCCCTATGCATATACGTATCTGCACAGGGATGCATATGCATTTATATGCATAGGGACCAGACCAGTATGGAAGCTAAACCAAAAAAAAAAGCTTCACAGCATTTTTGCTTATTTGAAATGCCTGCTCCAATCAGGGCCTTAAACAATCATAACAAATCAACAGAGAATACAAAAAAAGACAGCACAAAACTTTACATAAATTAAAGACAAATTAAAATAAACACACATAATGTAAAGGCTTTTTAGCTTTAGTAACGACTCTCATAAGACTATTAATGAAAAGAATGCTGCTATACTTTCCATGTTATGCTGAATGACCCTATGGGAAGCCCTTGTGAACAATAGTGCTGTCAGATCCATGTGTTCCCACACACACACACACACACACACACACTACAGCCCGCCTCCTCCCAGTCCCACCACTTCCTCTCCAGATCTCACACTTGTGCAGTTCTTTCACTCTCATCAGATACTTGATGTCTCACCATCACATGAAGATCACACAGTAGTGAGGGTTACTTTCACGAAGGAAACACGGCATCACATTTTCACATGTGTGGATCATAAATACATCCGTCTATTTGTTTTGGTAGCTTTTTCTCATTGAGAAGAACTTTATCAAACAAACTTTTTGGAGACACTCGGGGACCACACTACAGCTGCATGCAGAGGACCAGCAGCTGAGGAGCGATGTCATCTCTACTTTCTCACCACAACGATCAGCCACGCATCAGAAAGTCAATCTCTGACTCCTCTCCAACTTCATCTGCTGCCACCACCAAGAGCCTGAGGGTGAGTTCTAATAGTCTTTAATCTCGTCAGGGTCTGTTTATTCAAGAAATGCCGTGGATGACATCATGCAAACACTAACATTTGAGTTCATTCAGTGTCAAACAAATGTCTCTATAACAATCCACAGTGTTTTTACACAGGCTCTTTTCATATAACGTCCTATGTACCATCGTTTGAGAAGCGTATTTCATCTTTAAGACCACTTTACATTATTTCTAGGAAGCGCCGTTAAGCTATGACAAGTGTTAGTCTAGTGTCTTCTGACCCACTCTAACGTGTCTATGGCACCATATTGTTTCAGAATCATTCAAAATCATTCCTTTTTGTAATACCACAATCTACAGAAAGAGGGTTTATCATGAGGTGGTGATCGAGAAGCATTCAAGTTATCCAGATTTGATGTTGTTTTATGCAATTACTTACTACTTATTCTAATATTTCAGTATATTAAACATTGTTAATGTCTTTGTTTGCTGAATAAGATATGTATTTTACTGTTCTTAGTGTTATACATTTTCTGTTTCTAACGTTAAACTTTTTTTAATCCACTTTAGGGATTTTTGCTTCTTTATAGTTTAGTGAGGACGCTGTTTTGAAAGGAGGCCTCTTGGACCCAATAGACTGTTGGTCCTGCAACATGTTTTCAACTCACTTTTAAATCTCCGTCTTTTCAGCCAAACTGACACATTGATCGTTATATTAATTCATCCTTTGTCTAAGATCTGTTTTCCTTTGTTTTAATTTTCTTCTTCAGCTGTGTTGCTGCAGAAATGAATTTTCTTGATTTTTGTCATTCAGTGACGAAAAAAGGCTTTGCTCAAACATAACCAATTAAACAGACAAACGTTACCTTTGGTTTGCTTGTCTTTGTTGAGGAAGATAGCAGTGGATGGCATGTTGTCTTTAGCTTGACTCTAAAATTGCCCGTAGGTGTGAATGTGAGTGTGGCTGCTTGTCTGTCTCTATATGTCAGCCCTGAGATTGACCGGTGAACAGTGTGTACCCCACCTCGAGCCCAATGGCAGCTGGGATCGGCTCCAGCACCCCGTGACCTCAAACAGGAAAAAGTAGTATAGATAATGGATGGATGTCTTTAGCTTGATTGATACATACAGTGTTTATATTAACACTGAAAACTGTTAAAGAGCTCCCTTTAATTCTCAAATAAAGCCCTAGGGGTGCTAGTTGACCCATTTGAGAAGCACTGCCCAAATCCAACCCCCCTAATAATGATGAAACAAAAGTCCCAGGCAATGTGGTAATAAGCTGTTAATCTTTTCTGTTTATGTGAACTAAGAATCCACTTGGGAAATTTAACGGGACGGAGAGAGAGAGGGACACAGGATGAGAGTACAAAGAGAGAGAGAGAGAGCGAGAGAAAGAAAGCAGAGGGTGAAAGACAGGATGACAGGGAACAGAGGGAAGGAGGGATAGAGTGCTTAGGACTGGCTTGTGGGAACTCAGACGCAGTATTTATGGATGTTTATCTCTCTGCGAGTCCTACGGGAAGCTCACATTTTCCACTGGGGAATAACTGGTCAGCGGACAAGAAGTTCCTCATGGGATCTAGAGCAGCTGGAGGAGAGCTCTGTGACAGAGACGCAGGACAAATGTCACAAAAAAACAGAGTTTCCATCAGCATCTGTTTATATGTGATGTCGCTTAATCTAAACCAGAGCTTATTCCAAGTCTGTACACTGTATATCATTAATGACCGTTTACGGAGCAGAACCAAGTGTCCACAGAGAGTCTTAAAAGAAGCTGACATCAGAGTCTGGTGAAGATCCAGAGGTCTTGTAAATGTCTCAGCTGAGGCCTATCACTGTGTTTACACATAGTTTCTGTAACTTAAACCCTTGTTTCTTTCTTCTTCGTCTTTCTTTTTTTTTACAGAAATCCACTTGCCGTCTCTAAGATTTAGTCTGCTTTTTGTTTTAGTTGACTGTCACAACAAGTCTTGGTTTG